TTCTCAGTTTACAAACCTATGACCAGCCTTTTATGTACATATTAATATGCCTATGTATTATGCACACACTCTTACACGCATGAGTCGAAGAATTTCTCCGAGGCTGTGAATTTGCAAAGGTTATTCAAGTTATGTGAGTGACTTGGCCTCGCTTTCGTTCGCGACGGCTCCGGTTATCTAATTCGAAAGGTTACGGCGGCGGAGTGCGCGCGCGCCGGTCACCGGTCGCAACGCTCACAGATGACACGAGAAAGCTCCATTTGAAAACATATTATTTAAGTTCACTAAAGGTTCACTAAAAGTATTTATTACATTATCTGTTGGAACTAGACGTCTTTGCAGATCTGTTATTTGCGGTATTCTTACAAGTGAGCTTGTGTTCACATCGTTCACAATAAAAGTAATCTTACAAGTGAACTGGTTGTGAACATCGTTCACAATAAAAGTAAAAGCGATATCTATAGTTTTCGATTTCATATAACAAGAAATGTGAGTACGCATAACATTGCGTACTAAGTTATAGTTACTTCTAAAATAATAAACTCAAATTCTACATTGAACTTTTTCGGTCCACAAATCTACGCTTTATAGCAAACGAGTCAAAGTCGACTCAAAATCATTGTGTTTGCGAATCGTCCACATAAGCTATATCTCACTTGCTCTCATGCCCACTGTGTCCGACCAGCTGCACCCGCGAAGACCTGCTAAAGGCAACGGGTAGAGAGGCATAGAGGTGGCTGCTTACTGGGCTATATTTTTCTTAAATAGAATAAGTATCGTGTAAGTATAGACATCCCCTCCTAGCGTCCTAATTTTTGCATGTCGTTGATTAAAGAAGGATGACGACATCCCGTGTATTGTGAAAAAGTGTTTTAACAACGTGAATTAAGGAGACCTATCAATACTTGTGATTCATTATCAAAGTATCGAAAAAGCTAATTGAGAACAGCCTGTAGAAGCTGGGGTTACAAGTTGATATAGCTTATGTTTATAACATTATCCTGTATTTCGCTTCAGATGTTTGTTCGTAGTAGAAAAAAAATAACAATTTTCAGTTTGTTCCCAAAAATAATAAAGAATTTTCCAAATATTTCCAAATCTGCCAAACTCTGCCACATTTAAAATAACTTATTATATTCTGCAAAAATGAAAATGAATAAAAATTAAATCTGCCACAAATGGTCATACTGCAAGTCTAAAATACAACGTTTTACAATTTTTTTATTCCCGACTTCTAAAAATATACAAAAATATATTGATAACTAGGCATAAACTAAAACGCAAAATTATACTAACAAAGTCGAACGGCTCTTCGCCGTTATTGGGGCAGTTTACGCCATCCTTCTTTTCCACATTTGTTATCTCTCAAATTTCTTTTTACTTTGGCACCTACCACTTACTTTTTTCCGTCATTACGGGAAGTTTAGTGTAGTTGTAGCTTTACATACCGTACCCTCGATAGTACAGTGGCGTAATTCGAAAAGTCACATTTTTGAGAAAGTGACAAAAAGCATTCTTTTTATTTTTTTTTATATCTACGTATTTTGTCAGTTGCCCAAAAACTTACTTTCTGAATTATGTCACTTTATTACCAAGGACGCAACGTATAATTGTAATAACAACAATGTTACCGAGCCTTCATTAAATTGTCCAAATATGGTTTAAAAGCATTCTAAAGCAAAAGTGAAAGAGAGAAAGGGACCTAAAGGAATCGATTACGAAACTACCAATATCTCTTTCCTTGTCAAACACGTATTCAGTTATAAAACACAAAATAAACGCTCCATTCACGATTGCTAAAAAAAACCTAAGTTATTAAGAGATAATTTGTAACTCGCACGAGTTAATTGCCATTCTATCCACTTTCTTTTGTCTCGATTGAAGTTGTTGCATTATGCATGATGTTTTCGAAAAGTATATGCTGTCTTCGAAGTCCATTATATGTTTTAAACGAAGTATCATTAAAACAAATGTAATATAAAATAAAAAATATAATGCGAAATGGTTTATTCTAACTGTGGGATAGTATTCTATAGTCAAGAACTCATCTAGCTTGTCACTTTGGAATTTGGACCGTTCTTATCGCAAGCCCCATATAGATTAATCATTATTTAAATCCTAAGTTTCTAACTTCATGTGCTCCTGTACATCTATCGTGAGTTTACAGTACCAATTGTCGCTAGCCACCGTCTAGAAAAATTGTATACAAAATCGTAAGTCCAAAGTGTTTTTATCACATGAAAGTGATAAAAATAATACGAATTATACATGAAATAAATTATGTTTATGTAAATTTTTTTAATTGTCCTATTTAAGAATATAAAGATGTCGACTAATTTTGTTATCCAGTAATGTTATTAAACCCTTAATAGCAGTAGAGCTCCTTGTGAAAGAGTTCGTCCAGTAATGTCAGCTTTACTGCGTTCCGGTTATGAAGGGTAAGGGTGCTGGTGAAATTACAGGAACATGGAACTTGTCAACTTAAGTCTCAGCATGACGGGCACAGTGGCAGTGCCCCTCAGATCTTTGCGATTTAAATCTCTAAGTGGCACTACAAATTTTATAGACAGGCGTGTAGCTTACGACTTGTTCATCCTGTCACTAAATATTATGAAAAAAACCTCTTGAAAAATTGTCATTTTGCAGACATGGACTTATTACACCAATGGTGCGAAACATACGTCAATTAGAAATTGAAGTACATGCCGTCACAGAGTTAGCACCATAGAGTACCTGTATACTAAATCTATGGGTAGCACTGATCATGTTGAAAAAGTTTAATTATGTACACAGCTTGTTAGACATGAGACCTTGTTGTGAGTGTAAAACAATGGTTTTGAAAAATATTTTCCGAAAGAGAACCTGGCTAATTATCGGCCATTGTCGCCGTTTTAAGACCGATTCTCGGAAGACATGGCATTGCTATGTGCATTGTTGATTGTTGTGTGAATTTTTCTAAAACTCTGTTTTTTTTTTAATAAAGATATTACAATAACGATGGAGATGGTGGATAATCTATGCACAGAGTACTAAAAAAAACCGATCTCAATAGTTCGTTGAAACCGGTTATCGGAAAGTGCGCGAAACCGGATTCATCCCCTAGTTTGCCACCCTTAGAGTTGGAATATTTACTTCAATATGTACCTTTCCAACAAAAAAGAATCCTCCAGTTATCATCGAGTTATCGCGTAACATACACACAAAAAAATACAGTCGAATGAGAACCTCCTCTTTTTTAAAGTCGGTTAAAAAGAGTGTACTTGGAATGACCCTGTGGATGACGATCGATCGGACTTCCTAGAGGAATGGTAGAGAAACAAATGACAACGATTGCAGAGGATGCGCAAAATCGTAAAAGAAAAAACCACATGGCTTCAGAAGCAGTGATTCAACGTGAATATCACAGAAATTCCGAGCCGCAACTTCACGGACCCTAATAGCCACAACAATAGTCGACCTTCAGTTGGAGATGGCACCCCAAGAAGTGGGACGAAGTTCAGAAAGATTTAATTGACCTCGGTACTGGTGACTGGCTCGCGCAGGCTCAGAAGCCTCAGAGCGTAGGGGAATTTGGTGTCGGAGACCAACAACCATTTTTAATTTTTGCTATCTCGTAATTGTTGCACATTAAATATGAAACAATTTTTTCGGATCACCCGGACCATAGGACCTGGAAAGCACTTGATGCATTGGTTTGTTTGAAAACAACAAATATACACGATTTACATATGAAAAAAATTGTTGCATTGATTTTCGTTTTTATTTCGATTTTTTATATATTTTAATACTATATTACTAGCATTTCAATATAAATAAATATTTGACAACACCACATACGTTGCTCTGATCCCAAAGTAACAAAAGCACTTGGAGATCGGAACCAACGACGGCACCACAAACACCCGAGACAATATAGAAAAGTAAGTTTTCTACATTCTTCATGCGACGAGCTATGGCGTATACAACCTTCTGCTTGACGATGTCGCCAGTGCTCCAAGCACGTCTTCCTTTCACTTCAGACTAAAATGTGGTTAATCCAGCGCTCTTTTTTCAAATTTATCTGATATTTGTCATTTTAAATAATGTTTTTATAATAGTACTATTGTTCTTTATTATTAGTTTATAATACAATTTAATACATTTATTTATTTATACTAATTGACATAAATATTAGACCCATCATTTACGTTACTGTGATCCCAACGTATGTAATTAAAGCATTTGTGTTATAGAAATCGGAAACAACGATGGTACCGAACACCCGACCCGCGGCAATATTGAAAAGTTAGTTTTCTACCGAATTCGGGATCTCTGTGACGTATATTAAACGCCAAGTATATTGTATCTAATTCTAGAATTTTTTTTTAAGATATACCAAGTTCATAAAAACTTATTTAAATTAATGTAGTATAACGAGCCGTTTAACGCAGTTCCGGTTGGGCTAGAACGCATGCGCGGAACTAGCAGCGCGAGAGCAGCAGTGCACCGTGAATGTGCCGTGGCAAAGTATATTTTTTTGAATAATTTATGAGACATAACATATGATTTATAGCTTCTTTTCATACATTATAACAAAATATTTATGTTAATAAATACGGTCCCTCGTCAAGCACTATGTCATTAAGAATCGATAACAAGTAATGTTTGTCCTTTAAAAGAAATTTAAAAATGAAATTGAATATCCAGAAAGTAATCCGAAAAACAACCATTAAGAAAAGTAAATAAATGGAGTAAATGTATGCGAAAAAACATATTTTCCAGTTAAGAATATTATTATACCTTGCCTTAAAATGTATCACAACAAACGTATCACATGTTCTTTTTTTAGTAACTTAATAACAAGAACAGGGAAACTGCGTGCTTAATTTTTATTTAAGGTTGTTGGTTTCTGATGATTTTTAACTCATGTCGTCTGGAAACACAATTTATTTTTAGCTTAACCTACAATAATTATATTAAATAAATTACATAATAGATAACTAATGTTGAAATTAACTTACTCTGGGCGCAGTAATGGCGCAGGCCACATGAGCCAACAACAGAAACTGCCAAACGCTCCTCATGCTGCACTCTTTACTAAGAGCGGCAGAAGTACATCACACTACACCGACCACTGCACCAACCAATCCGAACACACCACACTGTTCCAAAGCCAATCAATTCAAAATCACGAATAAATTATTAAAATGGCCGCAAGTTTAAATATTCGAAAAAATTGGCGCGAAGTACAAGTTGTACTTTTGGGAATTCTTTTTTCGCGTGGCAGTGATAGCACGCGGCGGCAGCCTCTCGGTGAGTATCACAAACGTAGCGCGTCTCGAAGTTTTACCGCCCCTACTCCGATCGCCCCTACTAGATATTTCGAAAGGATCTCAAAGAGAGACGATCGTTTACAATACTTAACTATAATTGTGGTACAAATTGAATATTGCACAAACTTCTGTGGGATTCTCGGTTTTGATAACTTGCGTATACATTACATTGTGGAAACGTAGGCGAATTTTCTTGTTAATGAATGCTTTAGTTCATTTATGGCAGTTTGTGTTTTATATTTAACAATTACGTAAAGGTGTGAAATTCTGTAATACAAAATCATGTTGTGAATAAACATTCGCTGTTCTAAATTCCAAAGTAAAGGGCTTTCAAAAGTAATGTTAGCGCCTTCGAAAATGTTTCATTCTCATTTGTATTTTTGACATTAAAAAATAGACGGCTGGCTCCACAGCTGAGCTGGCAGAAAGAATAAAAAGTAATAAGTACCAGAATCACGGCTCCGACTACCTATTTACAGCCTTTGGAGTCGAAGCCCTTGGCCCGTGGGGTCCCAGTGCCCTTCATCTGTACAAAATATTATCCAAAAAATTAACAGACTGTCTGGGAAACCCAAGGATCCGCAGCTACCTTGCCCAACGCATTAGCATAGCAAAGGGGGAACGCTGCCAGCATCTTGGGCACCTTGCCGCGGAGACCCAATTTTATTTTAAAAATTATAGTTTAACTTTCTAATATTTAACCATTTATTGTCTTTTTTACCATATATTATCAAAATAAAAATTTTCAGAAAATAAAAATGTTCTTGAGAATGTCACAGTTTCCCTTTACAATAAGCAGTTAAAAGATAACTATATGCTATTCAAGCGCTTTATGGTAGCCCCGCATTGCCACACGGCGCCAAATTGCTTCATTTACCACGTCTTATCTTATTCTTTATTTTTACAATCTTTTTCCCATCACTTTAGTCTAGATACAGAGAAATCTAGGGCCTAATTGTGTAACTATAACTATATGTTAAATCTAAATGAAATTTTACAGGGTTTCTTTGCAAATAACACACTACTTGTTCGTGTCGTCACTTGATATTATAAAAACGGCAGATTTTCTTTTTTTTACGATATCAAGTGACGGGACGAACAGGTCGTGCGTCTGATGGTAAGCTACACGCCTATCCATAACAGTTGCAGTGCCACTCAGAGCTTTAAGTTACAAAGATCTGAGGGGCACTGCCACTGCGCCCGTCACCCTGAGACATAAGTTGACAAGTCTTATATGCCTGTAACACTGACATTACTGCTTGGCAGCAGAAATAGGTAAGGTGGCAGTATTTCCCTGGACGAACTCTTTGACTCTTTCACGTTCTTATTCAACGCTAAAACTTTACTAAGTAACCTAGTTTTCTTACAAGATTTATGAAAAGGGTTCTATGGTCCATGAGAGTGAATAACTAGACAAAAAATAATTTTCATACAAATCTATCGTCACTTTTAATACAAAATTTGGCGCAACCTTTGCCGCGAAAGAGTACCATCTACCTTTGTGCCTTCTGAGAGTCCGTCTCCTGGACTCAAATTGCCATGGCTGATTTGGAAGTGTATTTAAATACGCTTCGGAATTAGGTTAACCGGAATAAGGACAATTGGTTCAGGTAGGGATTTTCGGATGTTTTTAAACTGTACTGTTTGTGTAGTGCGATGCAATCCAGGATTGTTGCGAATAATCCGCAGATAATCTGCTTAAATTAAAATATCCGCATCAGCGTCCGTATTCATCGAAGCACGTTCGAGTCGTGACATGTTCTAAAAAACACGCTGGAATAATTTACAATCCTTCCTGTAAGCCGAAAAAGCAACTCAGCTGTTGTTTATAAAATATAACTTTGATAAATTTCCACTACGATTGTACTAGGCAGATTGATTGTTTTCCTGCAAGGGATAACCAGAAATGGAGACGAAATAAGGACCATCCATCCCTGGCAACTCAACAGGCAAATGGGCTTTATATCACATTCCAAAAATATTCTGTATTTACTGTAATAAAGATAATATCTCTAACTATGGGGGGCTGTTCCATTCGGTGGTGTGGGAACACAACGATTGACGACAGCCGTCAATTGTTTCGAATTCGGGCTGGCCAATCGGAGCGCGGTTGTCACCGTAATGATATGGAAGCACAGTTTTCAAACAAATTAAATGATATTTCGTCTCTGTTTTTAGTTATATACTCGATGTTTCATGCAGACTGATTATTTTGTTAATAAATGTCACAAAATGATTGAAATAAAATTTTATTAGAATACCAAAGAAAAAGAAAGCTTTTTCATGTAGATAAATTCAGTAAGGATGTACATTCGCGTTTTTTTTAATTACATAAAATCTGCATCCGTATCAGCTGATGTGTAATAATCCTGCATCAGCAACAACCCTGATTTACGATGACACATCTCACATCGTGACTGCGTGCCCTAACACCCTGCACACTTGAGGATTTAATGTTTAAATACCAATATATTTACTTTTCTTCTCGTGCGTCGCAGTGTATGAAAAGACTTCCATATCCAGTGGAGCCCGTCGATTGCTTTCTTCAAAAAAGGTTGAGAGCGCACTTTCTTGTTGAATTATCTATGGTTTTTTCAAAATATATATGTATTTATT